CCATCTCAGTCTTCGCCCTATCAAAATTCTCACCCATCTCAGTCTTCGCCCTATCAAAATTCTCACCCATCTCAGTCCTCGCCCTATCAAAATTCTCACCCATCTCAGTCGTCGCCCTAGCCAGAATATCATACATATGATTCAAAATTCTATCTTGTGTACTAGGAACATTAGAAGGGTGATCACGAATTATATCATGCAAAGTCCCAGAATCTTGTCGTTCATCTTCGGTTTGATCTAGCCCTTCATGTTGCAGTGAGGGGAGAGCAAAAAATACAAGGAAAACTACAAGAAGTAAAAGCTTTTGAACGCTCATTGAAATGGATAACTTGCCGAAAAAACAGCTAGCATTTTATACCCTGTTTTTGACCGGAAATTTTGCATCCAATCGGAATATTAAAATTAATAATTGCTGGAAGGACCAATTAAACTCCGAAATTTTAATTACCAGGTCGTCTTAATATGCACTTTATTCACTAACTAGTCTATTTTATTCAGGATGATTGCAAAAATAGAAATTATACCAATCAAATAAAAGAATTGTTGATTTCCGATACGACCATCTAGATCAGAAGTGATTTGTGCATCGATAATTCGACCATACTACCAGAAAAGCAAGCGACTGCATTATCAGCGTTCCTTCAAAGTAGTATTCTGAATATTTTCAAGAATTCTTCTTCAATCTCTTATCAAATGGATATCATTGCAATTTCGACTTATGTATTCCGTTGTTTAGAAAGAGATCTTCTGCTCATCCAAGAATCTTATTCGAACAATATGCAAACATCATGTTTCATATCCAAGGTTTTCTTGCAATTCACCAATTGTCTGTCACTGGCACAAGATATGTCAAACCAAAGTAAATGGCGTAATTCTTGCTAGATATCGTCCGATTAAAATTTTAAAAGCACATGGACGGTCACCAGTCCCAGCCATAAGATCTTTTATCTCAATGCAGTAATTTTCTTTAAATCTGCTAGACGCGCATATAGAAATGACACTATTTCTACATTGAGTCTCTGGATTTGGTAAAGCATAGCTTTCGCACAACCTTAATCCTAAGCCTTGATGTAACCGATCATATGTCTGCTGTGGTCGAACATTCAGCCTAATTAGCCGGTATTAATGGAAAAGTTTCTTAAAATTCACATCTTACTCGAAGCAGGTATAAATACAAGAGGGCCTCAAAGTCGAGTATCTTCGATTGTAGTTTTGAAGCTTCTATTTTAACTTGACATACACAAGCACTCTCAAGCTAACAATGTTGTGGTCCATCGCTGTTGAATTGCCATTCCACTATCATTGGGCATCAATGTTTATGCTAACAAAATTTGCAGAATTGCATTATGTTTAATGATTTGCTAGCTCTGATATTTGTTTACATTATTCTCCATTTGACTCCATTATTTAAAAGTGGGTTCATTATGATGCATGCACGCTGGATAAAGGACCTTGTTTTTAATAAACTCCTTAATTGCGGAGTAAAAATCCCTTTCTCCGTATCTACTTATGCGAATCTGATTTGAATACCCGAACCGTTTGGATCGTAGGCTGACAATACCATAAATAGCTCGTTCATGTGGGTGTTTAGCTTAAAGAACTCATGCCATCCACACATCAAATCAAAGTTGCTGGAGTACCTGTTGCCTTTACTCAAAATCGTGTGAAAATTTTTCTTGAAAGCATCCCAGAAGTGACTTGTTTGAGTGACCTGGAAAATGTAATAAGAGGCGGGCCGCTGCTTAATTTGAAAAGTGTGCCAGAAAAGAGCTGCGCCTTCGAAAAGCGCGATATTCACTTCCATTCCGCATATTTTGTATCTTTCGTCTGCTGTTCCCTTTTCGTCCATTTGATGTGGGTGCGTATTTTCTCACCCGGCACCTCAATGCACTTGGATATTGGCGATCGAGTAGGATCATTAAATCCAGCTAGCTTAGGGCTAAGCCACATGATCGACGCAAATATGATGCTTATCTAGTAAAGATGCAATCAAAACCGCCTTTATTTGGGATTAGTTTTAGTCGTTCTATTGATCCGTGCTATCAAATTTGAATTAATTTTTGGGCCAACGTGAAGAAAGGACATGTCGAACCAAAAGTTGCCAAAAGCTTACTAAAACCTACCAAAAATTTACTAAAATGTCATATTTTCAGTCTAATTAATTTAAAGGCCATTTTAGATATACATGTTGCGTTTTTGATGAAAGCAGCAGCTTGGTTCGTATGAGCTTGATTTGTATCAGCTTGATTGGCATCAGCCATCAATCTCAAAACAATTCAAAAACAAGCAAGGAAATGGAAGCGATCACAATTCTAACAAAGTCAGTGTGGCGAGCAGAGGCTGAATTGCCATCAATTTTAGGCAAGCATCCAGCCTCAGTGGCATTTGCTTCGACAGTCTGTATGGCGTCAACAGTACCACCCTGCGACGCAAGTGCTGCTGATATATCTGAGCTATCCTTTTGCTCAGCACCTTCATGCTTTTGATGCATTCTCCACAAAAAGTACACTATTGCAGCGGCGAGGTCAAGACAAATGAATGCAAATCCAACTCCAAGAATCCTGGGCAAATAGTAAGAGAAAGTGCTTAATGCAGAATTCCTAGATACGTTGCGATGGTTACGGTACAGGAGAGTCGCCACGACGAAAATGACAACGAGCCCAAGCAAAACAGCCTGTTTGAACAGAAAGCCCAAAATATAATTTCTGAGGTTTCTTTTGCAAGGTTTGAGGTCTCCCGGAAGCAAATGCAAATTAAACAGATCCAGATCGACGGGAATTTTAGGGTCCTTTGCACATGCTTTGAGGCACAATTTCCGCTCACAAACCCCGAACTTTATACCAACATTTGTGAAGTTGCACTTTGCGGTATCTCTAAACTGCAATTGTGTGTGCTTCAATTGCTTCAATAGCTTCAATCAAGATGGATTGCTAGATTTTCGTGAAATAGATCCATTGCTGCAACACAGAGCCGTGATATCTTCAAGCCTTTGTAGAGCCACCTAAAAGACCAACGGCGCCACCAGAGCATGCCAGATAATCAAGCATGTCTTCCAAATCGATTTGAAAAAATCGAACCTTTCCAGATCGTAGATTTTTATCAGTGCAGGCGACAAAAATAGGTCGGATTTTTGAGCTTTCCAGCAGCATCGTTCATTATGACAAGTAGCCTTGCTTCCTCGAAAATATCAACAAAAAGACGATTTCGTATGTGTATGTATCCCGTTTAGATTGATGGACCCACAACAGTTGTTGCAAAATCTTTTGTAAATGCAGCCCGCAACTTAGCAAGTTGAGCTCCAATATTCCAAAGGGTAAATTTTTTGCATGCCATACTTGGGTCTTGAATGTTTTAATCAGGATGCTCCTCCGCTTTAGCATATTGCAGCTTTCAAATTGGACAAAGGTCTCTGTATCTAACGTACGAAGAGTATTTCCGGTCGATGGAACCGATGATCAGGGGTTAGAATTTCCGAAAATGTCTTTCCCATCTTGCTAGCTTGAGATTTTAAAGTTCAAACAGCAGCCATCGCATGCTTTCAGAAAAATATCCACCTTAGCTTATCGATAAAATCTGGATCGTTCAGTTTGAGAATATTTTCGTAGCTGGACATTAAAAGATGTTCAACCCCTTGGAAAGCAATGCCTGTCGGGGTAAGAGTGCCTTTTTTCTGCTTCCGATCCCTCTGGAGCCGATGCAAATGAGAAAAGTAATCTTTTTCCAAAGCAGCCTTTTGATCGGATCTTATGGAGTTTGGAAAATGTTCATTTCCAAGCTTAATGTCTCCGTGTCATTTGTGCTCAGTGTTGATCGCATATTTTGTTCATTTTGCAGCAACGACCAAAAAAAGGCTAATTTGGTGGCGTTAATTTTTGGAATCACTATTTGGATCTTACACCAGATTCCATCCGACAGCCTTCCGGCTTTTAAGAGCTTTTGATAAAGCATTTGGTAAAAACAGGCATAGAAAAAGCGGCCAAAAATTCAAATAAATTGTTGAGATTGACATTTGTTTCAAAGCAATACGCCTGCTCAGGTAGACATACACAAAAATATCGGGATTTTTCAGAGCGTACTTTTTCAAGCAGCCAGAAGTGGCCCTCTGCACGCAACTGTCTCTTGACTTTTGCATTTCCATGTCATGGTAGTCAGCACGCACTGGTATCTTGTTGAAGCCAGGATCCTTTTGATACATTGGGTTAGAATGATTTCTACAAACGCCCAGCATCAAAAAATGCTGTCGTACGGGTCTTCAAAATAAAGCGCATCAAATCGGGATTTTTCAAGCAGCACCGAATTTTGAATTGATTTTGAACTTGAGCGGCATGGTTTTGAATTTGTGGACAATTTTCCGTGCAGAAATGCAGAGAAAAAGCAGTCCAGCTATCGATTTTCTCTCGATTAAGAACAATTTTTTGGAATCAAAATCGACATCGGACATGCCTTTAAAGCCCCCAAATGGTACAACGTACCGCTGTATGCAAACCTTGTCTGCTGGATCAAATAAACTCAATGGGAGGTCATACCGGCAGAAAAGGCGCCGTCTTGATGTTTCGATTACCAAATGACTGGAAAAGCGCTAGCTCAGATCATTGATATCGTTTTCAAGGCAAGCAGGTGGATTCATGGCAAAACAATGGGCGATGCGACCGATCAATTTCCGGTAAATTGGATCAAAGGTTGACAAATTGGAATGCTTGTTTGTAAATCGAAGCTTGGCAAATATCAGATTTCCCACTGTTGCTTGTCCAACAATTCATGCTGCCGAGCACATATAACAAGCAACCACACCGTAAACTAAACAACTAATTACCAAACTGGCTATCCAAATGACCTTTTCATGTAATTTACCACATCCAGTTTAACGATCCAAATTCACATATACTGCGGTTTTTCCGTCGTTTGGAGCGTTGCGCATGTTTTTCTTGCGTTTCACGACATGTTTTCAGAGCAGTCGATCGAATTATTTGACATTGGCTGATGGCCGCATGTTTTGGACACCGTTGTTTTTTCCTTTAGACCCATCTGAGCAGCTTCCTTTTCTGCTTTCGCTGCCAAAATACAGGGCGAACACCACTACACCCCCTTGGATCACCCTCTGAACTTGCGTCAATACGAAGTTTTCGAAAACCTTCTTGCATCGTTGCTCCCAACTACGGATTTGTCCCACTTCTAAATTTAATCTAATCCAATCCAATCTAATTCCGCCTGCACTCTGATTCGTCCATCGGCCCAATTTGCAATTTCCCCCCATGCTGCCTTGAAACCAAGTGTCCCTTCCATAACTCCGTTTATTACGAAATAAAGCATAGTAAAACCTAACCCTAAAACTCGATTGATTCATACCAGACCCGGAATTGAGTCAAGGTTGGAGCTGATATTGGCGATGCGAGCGACTGCATAGTTCCAGTCTACTCGATCGGAATCTGGTCGTATTATAATCCAAAAACGAAGCCCACATGCTAGTTCACATATCCGACATATAGTACGATCGGGGCAAAGCCCAACAGAGCCTGAGCTTGCTTATCAACTGACGCAACCAATGTGGATGATGCATGGGACTTTCATTAGTGAACCTAAGTAAGCCCAGAAAGGGGTGGTGGTGTTTATATTATCTATTTTATTTCATTCTAATCGATTCTTTCTGTGTGTGAAAGCTAGATTTCTTTGCTGCATTTTTTGGCTCTAGTGCCCGCATAACAGCTCGAACATCGGCATCATGAGCTTTTTGTTCAGAAGCAATAGCATCCTCAAGAAGCATATTTTTGTTGATAGCATTTGTCATAAGATCGAGAGTGGCATTACCATCGTCGAGAGTTTTGAATGGACCGTAAGAGATACTGTTGTTTACAGCGTGGTGCAGGTAGATGGTGATGTTTTCACCAGCAGGATTTTTAGGGTCCCATTCGATATCAAGCAAACCGACATTAGAAACATTGGTGGTAGAATTTGGTGAGGCGATCAAAAGGGTTTCAGGATAAAGAAGAACAAACATAGACGGAGATCCACTGCTTCCGATCGAAGTATCCACAGTTAGGCTGTAGGTTCCAGCAGGTACATCAATAGAACTCAAATTAAGAGAGGCATTTCCATTGTTTTTGACTGAAAAATAATCGTTTTTCATCGTGTTCTGGTTAATAATGGTAATAACGGCAGGAGTAGTATTTTCATCGAACGGAGTCCATTGGACAGATAATGAGGCAGAGTTATTGTAAATAATAGATTCGGAGTTGGGAACCAGAATATTCAGGGGAGTAGCACTACTCACGATCAAATAGTCAAATCCAGAGCCCATATTCGAATCAACTTGGATTTTATACCTTCCTGGAAACAGCCCAAATGATGTAACATCGTCTGAATATGATCCTGTATTTGGCACTTCAAGTGTTTTCAGCAAAGAATCATTGCCACTGTATACAGAAAGATTAACAAGGGGTTCGCTAGGATCAATGGGAGACCAATTGACATCGATAGCACCACCATCAGACATAACAACGCTTGGATCAATAATAACGTTCAAGGTGGCACTATCAAACATGGTGAGCTCGATGCTGTCAGAGCCAAGCATTGAATCGATAGTAAAACTGTACGTGGCTGGTGATTTCGGCACTTCCCATTCTGAAGCGCTCAAAAAATAGTATCCAATGTTTGGCACATTAGACACATTCTTATAAGCGAGTCCATCCTTCCCGGTTAGGGTTAGGTTTACGAATTCCTCAGCTTTATCGAATGGTTTCCATTCGACAATTGTGAAACCATTAATTGAAGAAATGCTGTCTGGATTAACTGTGACAGCGATCGTGTTAAATTCGGTGGTAATAGCAAAACGATTTGAGGAACCAATTCCAAGGGAGGATACTAATTTCAATTCGTAAATACCAGGAGGATATGAAAGCTCAACACTGGTAGATCCGGTATCAGCAAGGTTTGTAGCAATAATACGTTGAGAACCGCTTGAGACGCGGGCGATAGATATGTTCACAGTATCAGAAATGTTGAATGGAGTCCAAGAAAGACCCAAAAACTCGCCAGTGGGAACCTTATCCGTATCAGTCTTAACAGAAAGGGGATTAGGCGCGAGAACGAGAAACGAATTTGATACACCTTGGCCAAGGGCATTGGAGACAAGGATGGCATACATTCCTGGCTTAAAAGAACCATAATTTTCCAACACAATAGTTGCATTTCCAGTATCTTTGGTTTGCGATTCGGGAAAAATTTCATCCGGATTCGCTAAACTTTTAAGAGAAAGTGTAGCATCATAGCTATCATGACCAGAAAAAGGATCCCATTCCACAAAAATAGAAGAATATGGATATATTTCGCCCAAAGCAGTGACATTAACACCAAGACCTTTGCTTGCGTGTATAATGAACGGAGCAGTTGTTCCATTAGAAATCGATGAGGTTATGTTTGCAAAGTAGATACCAGGTTTTATCGACATCACAGATGACGCCGAAAATAAAGCTAAGCACATACAGAAAAGAAGAGCTGTTATTCGCTTTGGAATCATGGTTGCATACTTTTCAATACAACATTCGCTATTTATTCTTTTCATGCTGTTAAGCTGACATGTTTGCAGTGACGGAAATAGATAAACAAAACAACAACAAATAAATAGGATATTAACCAACGAGAGGCGTGCCTTTTGTGTGCGAAATCACTTTTCGATTTGAAAATATAAACAAACATAAATAACACAACATTCGACCAAATTAGTCAGCGATGTTTGGGCTAGGGTTGGGATTTGGCCAAAATTAATTTCATTGAAACTGCATGTTGGTCCACATTATATATTGCCCATATCAGGAGGCCCAATTAAATAACTGACGTTTAAATGCCCATGTCACACATCCTAACCCAGGTTCAATATTTTTGATTTCGTATGCGATCACATTAATCGCCATGGCGGTTAGCATCAAGATAAACAAGAGCCCCTTTTGATAGAGATTCAAAAAGCTATCAAGTTGCGCTCTAGATTGAAATTTAGAGATTTGTATGACAACAACGTATTCGAGCTCAAGATGTTTAATCTCAATGATATTTCGCAAAATAATCTGTTCGAGTTCAGTCAGTCCGAAAGAAAAGCATTCCATAGCCTTTTCATGGTACTTTAAACAGACAACTCAATATACGATGACAAGGTCGAATTTTAGGTGATCGCTTTGCATCTTGAAAAGGGGACCTTACATGTGGACTTGATCCCCGCAAAGTCTTCAGACAGCAGTAGAGATATCAAAACAATGTGATGGCATGGGAGGCCTTTTCAATTGAAGAAAATCGCAATTCCAAGCTTGTAAAGCAAAAGAACGCTTCCCGTGTGTGGCTAGGCGGGTGAACCTTGAACTTCCCGTCTTTGTGGAGAGAAAATGCCCCAAAAAGTGGTCAATCAATCACTTTGATCTTGAGGAATGCGAGCAGCATCGGTTCGTGTCAAAGAAGCGGGGGGCAGAGATCGATGAATTTGTACCAAATTCGATGAAAGCTTGGCGAGTTTCGTGCCTTCGCCGTAAATTTCCCAAATTGCATATGATTGGGTGACTGTCTGTAAATCGGATTAATTGCCTTTAAATTGAAGGCCCCTAAATATCCGAGTTCTCATTCTTTAGTTTGTTCACCAATTGATTGAATTTTTGCAATAAAGTTTATTTCTGTTCGTGCTCTATAAATCATGCAATCAGTGGCTCAAACTAACCCTAACTAATCAACCAACTGATTAGCCAAATATCTAATTAACTGACAAACTAAATGACCCTTTTTTTAATGCACGACTGCAAGTTCAACGATCAAAATTGACGCGAATGTCTGTTTGTCGCTCGTTGGAGAGTTGCGAGTACTTTTTTTGGTTCAAAGAGCATTTCCTATCTTTGCATGGGATGGATACAATTCTTCTGTACTTTCCGGCGTCGATGCTAGATTAAATTAAAACCAAGCCCAATCCTATGTAAGGGCAACACATCGACAAGCTACTGACAAAATGGCAACTTTGAATTACATTTAATTTAATTTAATCAAATTAATTGGCACTTTCCGTATAAAAGGGTTCTTTTGCCAAAAAAATAATTTGCATCCGCCACCAATGTCATATTATTGTCAAGAAAAGGAAGGATATGGCAGCTGAAACCGTCTAACCCTAACCAACATGGCAAACAGAGGCTAAATTTCCAGAAAATTTGCGCAAACGTCTACCTTCAGTCACGCTTGCTTCATCATCCTTTATCACGTCCGGATTACCCTAAGCCGTAGGTAGATGCAATGGAAAATGCAGGAAGAATCAGCGCCAGTTTGAAGAAACTTGAAATACACAAAAAGATAAGAGGAGATGTTTATTGACGATGGTAGCGATCAGAATAGATGCGAAATGTTACCCCAATCAAAGAAACAGCGAGTCCAACCATGAAGGTATATGTTAGAAGAGCGAAAATATTATTTGTGATGTTATCTAGCGAAATGCCGATTTTTTTTCCATTTCTCTCTTCGTTCTTTGGGTCGAGGTCAATTAAATCTTTCGCTTCTTTAGTAGCCTTTTTCATTAGGTAAGTGTCCTTTTTATACACCGCTGAAGGCCTCTGATAGAAGAATGGCTCTGGTTGATCGATGAATTCCTTGGAAGGTTTGAAAACATCAAGAAGCAAATGCAAATTAAACTGTTTCAGATTGAAGGGCTCTTCGGATTTCTTTGCACATACGTTGAGGATAAATAGTTTCCCTTGAGAAATCCTGGCTTTTATGGCAACATTTGTAAAATCGTACTTGGTGCTACCTTTAAACCGCGATTGTATGTGTCTTAATACCTTCAATGAAGATGTTCTTTTAAATTTTCGTGCAAATTGTATCCATTGCTGCAAGATCAGCTCATGAGCTGCGATAAACCCAAAAATGATATCTTTCAGCCTCGTAGAGCTATCCAGAAGATCCATAAAACCAACGGCACCGCCAGAGTATGCCAGATAGTGAAGCATGTCTTCCAAGTCAAATTCTTCCAGATTATATATGTTTATCAGTGCAGGTGAGAAGAAAAAGTGAATGGGATTTTTGAGCTTTTCAGCAACATCATTCATTGTGGCGAATAGCATTTCTCCGTCAACAGCATCAACAAACACCGGATATTTCGTGTATTCATCATTTAAACTGAGGCGACCAACAGCTGTTCTCGTAAAGTCATTTGTAAATTTGACACTTAAACCCTCAAATATAGCATCAGATTTTTCAAAAACTGAAGACCTTTCAGCACGCACATTTAAAACTTTCACTGTTTCATGAACATTTTCTTGCTCTTGGGTGGATTGCTGCTCTTGGGTGGACTGCTGCTCTTGAGTAGATTGGACAACAGTCTCGATATCCCATGGATTACTTTTGGGAACCAATGGAATGGAAGGCATTTCAAAGTCGGGGGGAAAGATCTCCGTTATCTTGTTACTTTCAAAGAATTCCAAAATTTCAAAATTCGGGATACTTTCAGAAAAAAAAATCCATTTAAGCTGATCAATCGAGTTTCGATCTTTCAGGTTGAGAATCCTGTCCCAGTTTGGAATTCGATTGTCTGCAGAGGAGTAGGCGGGAGACCAGAAGCTCTTCAAAACCCTGGAAAAGAATTCTTGCCAGGGTAGAAGAGATTTCTCTTTACGATCCTTCTTGAGCTGATTCAGATGAGCAGAAGTAAAAACTTTTTGCAAGCCAGTCTTCTTCTTACCAGAGTTTATAACCTTTGAAAAAAGGTTGATTTTCGATGACAATTCTTTCCTGTCGTTTTCGCTGAGCGTCAAAAGCATAGCTTTGTCAGGTTTCAGCTTTGAAGAAACAAACACCTTAATCTGGTGGCGTGGTTCTTTAGGACGAGTGTACCGACTAAAAGTCGAGATTCCATTCAAAAGCTTTCGGGCTCTTAGGAGCGTTTGGTAAAGGCTCTTCGTATACACAAGCGTAGAAAAGGTAACCACGCAAATTGCAGATAGATTGTTGACATCGACATTGGTTCCAAAGCAATGGGCCTCGTCAAGATACAGGAAAACATCCTCGTTTTTCAAACCGTACTTGGTTTCAAGAAACAAAAATTGGCCCTCTACAGGCAAATCTCTCCCAACTCTGCCGGTGTCCATTTGATAAACAATCACATTTTCCTTGTCATCGTAGTAGACCACGCACTTGTATCTCTTTGAAGCCAAAATATGATCTGCTATCTTGGCGTTGGAGTGATCCTTCAAAAGAGCACCTGCATCAAACAATGCTGTCGTCCTGGTTTCCAAAATGAAGGCCATCAAAACATCAAATTGAGTATCTTTTTTGCCAAGAAGCTCTGGATTTTGAACTTGAGCGGCATAGCTTCGAATTTCGGGATAATCTTTCGTGTAGCAATTTGGAGGAGAAAATGAAAACGAGTTGTAGATTCGTCTCTCGATCACAGAAGACTGGTTGACATCAATGTCAACTTTCGGGATCACTTCAAAGTTCTTCCAATTGTATAAGGTGCCGCTATATGCAAGCACCTGACTGCAAGATAAAATAAATTCAATGGCAGATGATACGATCTGATGAGGCGATGTATTGATGCTTTCAATTACTACTTCCCTGAAAAAGATTTTCAGAGTGTCGTCATTTTCGTATATCTTTTCTCTCAAACACTTGAAAGACTCGAAAACGAATTGTTTGATTTGGTTCTTGATTTGGGGTTTGATTTGGTTCTTGATTTGGGTTTTGATGTCGTTCTTCATTTCTTTTAGCTTTTCATGATCATAATAAAGTTCCAGAATAGAATAGATATTTTCCTTTGTGAAGAATAAAGGAGGCTCGCTGAGATCTTTCATCTCGTTTTCAAGGTAAAACTTGAGCGAAATGGCAATGATGAACAGCTGATTTCCAAAGCTGCTGCCTTCCCTTGGTGTGTTTGCCATCGCATATGGGATGGGATATGGAAACGGAGACTCCATGGATGCTCCATACCCCACATTTCGAACCTTTTCCCAGCAATTGACAAAAAGCTGATCAATAATCAACGCGCGAGTTTCCTGGCTAGTATTTTCCAAAATTGGGTCAAGTTCTTGATGCAATGTCTTTTTGAAAAGCTCGACAGCATACGGCGTAAGAGGCTCTTGGATCTCAAAAATGGTGATCGGGGTTCCAGTTTTCGATCGGAATACCCTTTTGTCTCTCAAAAACAGGAAACACTCAATAAGCACATCAATGACATCCCAGTTCTTTTCATGCGCCTCGTTTGTGTCAAAGTTGTACAAAATGGAGACATCCATGATTCCGTCTGCTTCGTCAAGCACAAATATCGAGTAATGCTCAATGAAGTGCAAGATCCTCAAAACCCAAGCAAGAGACTCCTTTGACGTCTGCGTGTTTTGCAACAGCAGTTCCTTCCTAGCATTGAGCAGGCATTGGATGCTGTTCATCGAAGACACGAACACATCGCCGCGATCATGGGCCATTGTAAGTCGATAGTACAAATATCGCAGATACACTTCGCTGTACCCATAAGGCGATCGTTCTGATTTGAATTCAAAAACTCTTTTGCCGAAAAAGTCAAAAACCCATTGCCGCAATTGCACAATGTTTTGGTCGAGGATGGAATTTGGAAAGATGAAGATCGGCAGTTTTCTCAGCACCGATGTTGCCACAATTGCAGCTGCAGGACCGAAACGCGTGGTCTTTCCGCCGGCCATTCCCTGCTGCACGACATACGATCTTCCGTGCATCATTTTGTCTAAAATGTTGGACATGGTTGTCCTCTGTTCTTCATACAGCTGGGATTCCGTGAAAAACTCGATGAGAATGGAAACTTTGTCCTGCACAGTGACCGGTAATGGTTGACTAGGCATCTTTTGCCTCCCTAAAATACTAGCCCAAATATATGTGAGCACATTTCGAGCTCGAGATGGGATCTTTTGCCGAATCCAGGCCTTACAAAAAGTATTCTCTTGCAAAGAGGGACGCTCGCAATAGAAAAATGTGATGAAATGAGTCCACAAAAGATCAAGCAACTCTGGGGTCTTTTCGGCACTGATAGTGAAAAAGGCCCCGAGTTCCTCGATCGACCCGCAGAGCAGTATTTGGGCGAGAAGCTTGGGGTCTTTTAAGGCTCCCAGGGGAAATCCAGCAAGAAGCTCATCAGTGGACACTATTGATTTCAACGTCTCTTCAAGTGAAGCGGCATCGCTAAAAAATGTAAACTTCGCATCTGCCGTGAAAAAATCTGATGAAAGAGCTTTTCTTTCCATCGTTATGCTTAGCAGGTTTTCGTAGTCTGGAGGAGGCAATGGGAGCGTTTTAACAAACTTATTCGATTCCCCAGAAGGAAGTGACTGGAATCCGCTGTGTTTTTCATAAATGTCGAACACCTCTTGAGGGAACTTTTTATTTTTCAAGTCAGAAAAAAAATTTGAGAGCTTTTCTTTATCAGGGAGCTTGTTGAAAACCACGAAAATGACGTGAAATAAGGAAACAATTTTGTATTCGGGGCTATTTTTTTCCATAGAAAGATAAAATCGTATATGATTAAGATAAGGGGCATTGAATTTGTTCAGAAAATCGGTTAAATCTTTGGATGATTGAGCTAGGTGATTTATAAAAGAGAGAAAACTTTCGAAATCAAAATCGTTAAATTCACTCCAGTGTTTCAGCTGTACTTTGGAAAAAAGATTGAGACACCATTTATAGTGAGTATCTTTGGTAGTCTCCCTGAGCGTGGGGATATGTAGTTCCAATTTTGACGACTTTCCACCACTAGAACCGATTTTTAGCTTGTTAGAATATGCCCAAAGATATTTATCTTCATTGATGTTAGGAAGGAAAGAGAAAAGGAGCCTTTTGTACTTGAATGGGATAATGGAAATCAAATTTGCAATGTCGGTAATCTTTTTGACCCTATTCTCTTCATTTAAGAGACGTTTGAAAAAGATGCCATGTTCATCAAGAAGATGATTTGCCCAGCCTTCTATCACAACATACTCAAGATCACGGTATTTGATTTCGAGGATATTTTGCAAAATGACCAATTCGATCTCAGTGAGTTCGAACGAAATGCTCGTGTACAAGGAAACGTATTGCATAGCCCTGTCATAGTATCTTAAAAAGACAAGCCAATAGACGATGG